AATGATGGGTATTTGGCTATTGACTAAAAGTTCCGCTCGATACACCAATTTGGTTGTATGGTACCTACTGGGAACACGGTGTGGAAAACTCTGACAAGTAACTAGCTATCACGGGCCAGCAACCGTGCGAATTAATTAGAAAAATTTAACAACGGCATACTTGCAGATCATTTGAAACTTTAATCCGCAATCTAACCACGTAATTGCTGATACAACACAATCGCACCGATTAACATGACTTTTTTTGCTTATTCCTCGTTTTACTTCCGTGGATCCCACTTTTAGCATTGGGTTGCTATTCGTAACCCTCAGGCCACACACGATCATGCTTTAACCGTAGAATGAACCCAATTTGAAGTACAAACTCGGCATTTGTGAGGGCGGAAACTTCGTGCTCCGTATGGATAATGCCCAATTGCTGCAGATGTCTGCAAACTGAACCATTTTAACAACAAACCCACTTCAACCAATGTGCATCCACTGGTAGCTACGAGGTGTGAATCTGTAAGTAAAATTCAAAACGCAGTCTCATAAATCAAATACTTTATACCCAACACATAATTCTCCACTGGTTTATTTCGGTTTTCTCAAAACCAGCGAAGCAGTGCAATAATTGTGGACAAACTCGCATCCCAGAAGAGCTTAAGTTAGATTTAAATGGATAGCTCTGTTAAAGGAAATTTCTCCGGACAGGCCGAATACCAAATAGCACGTCCTAACCAATCTGTGTTCAATATATCCAACTAAATCAACAGAACCCATGCTAGAGTAGCTTTTTTAGCCACTCAGCTGCCCCATCCTTGAATACTGCAGAACAGTATACGGCAACATGAGATTGAGTAAAAGCTTTGCCGTAGAGCATCTGCAGATGTCATTTACCAAACATCTGATCGGTAAACACTCTGCTATGGGTTATCGAGAAGATGGTACCAAACTCGAACAACTTTGGATTCGGTGCTTGAAGCAAAACTTTTGCTGCTTTTTAACATGCTACAGCGAAATAACTTTTCCGATCTGCGTACTCTCGAACTGCAACATAGCTCCACACAGGAGCTTCGCAATAAAGAGTTTGCGAGGAATATACCGAAGGCTGGAAAGAACATTCGCTCTAATTTCTTCCTGGTTAGGTATAACTATCTGTGTAACGAATACTAATAACACTCAGGTCATGTGACAATGTGCCAACATTTAGAAGCAGACTCGTCAATTACCTTGTTTTAATTACCATACTCTTTATATTCACGTAGGAAAACTCCATCGATGAGCTATTCTAAGAGGAGCCCAAGAACATCTAACTACCAGTGTCTCCAAAACTAGGCTTTTGACTCAACCATCCACCTGAACGTAATTACATGAAATGTATATCTCACCCATGCATGTCACGCATGCCTGAGTACGGATAACTTTTTTCAATTTGATCTGTGCCGGTACAGACATAGTTTCTCGCATCAGGAGAAATACACATTTTATCGTTATTAATGTTACGGCTGTTATCATAAATATAGACTCCAAGTGTGTTTCTGGCTCGTCTGTAGAAGCAAGTCAATGGTTGTGCTCAAAACGCGACAGCCAGTGATCCAAACAAAAGGAAGTTGCCCAGGAAGAAGTACAGGAATGGTTTCTAACAGAAATCAAGGTAAGCGAAAACAAGGAAAAGTACAAAACGTCCTCGACCGACGGCCACAGGAACGAACCACGTCTTTCAGTTTGTTTTGAACAAGTCCTACACCCACATTCTTATCGCGGAAGACTTTAAGGTGCATGACATGGAAAAGCCAGCAACCGACGGTACGCTGGTTAAAGCCTGCATGCAAGCATTAATTGCTTGCCAACCTCTGTACAACCACGTAACCTCTCCCACCAGATTTTCAATTGCTAACAAGCCATCGATACTGGATTTTGTGCTCAATAAGGAAGGACTCATGGTTGACGGAATAGTTACAAGCACATCACTGGGTTGTAGTGACCATCTTACTCTAATCTTTGACCAAATATGTTATGCGGAGTATCCTGAAAGGATGATGATAAAGTGCCTACTGTCACGCACTATAATACGTTATCTACGCTTGTTACTGATACGTCTTTGACTTTCTTAACCGAATGCCCCCTGATGTTGCCTGGGAAACGTTTAAAAGGACGTTTGGTACAGTGGCAGCGCAAGCATCGGAACAGAAGTCCTTCCAAACCAAAACCAAGCGTAAGTCATTTCTGAGGAGCAGAACACGTAAATGTATGTCCCGGAGGGATTTGGCATGGCGAGATTATAAGGACTGTTCGAATGCCTAATCCTGGATTGCATACGTGACACATCGTAACTTCTGTGTGAAACTGATGCGCGAAGACAAGGTCACTCATCAGCAGAAGTTAATGAAGCGATTCTTCTCGAACCGCAAACGTCTTTACAGGATCTTTCATGGCCTTTTTAAGCCGAAGTGCGGAATTCCAGCACTGGTCACGGCTGATGGATGCACGCGGTTAGCAATGGAAGCAGCCGATTGCCTACGGATTCATTACTCTCAAACTTTCCAGCAGGTAACGTTCCCAAATATCCTCCTCGTTTCTATTACTCCACCGTCTGGTTTAGACCATGTCACCTTCAGTGCGGAAGTTACTTTGAAGAAGTTGTTATCCTTGTGTATAAACAGTTCTCATGGAGCCGACAACATTCGACCAAAGCCTCTGTAGACAGTAGCTTGTGCTCTATCAGCGATGTCTAGAAGAGAACCATATTAAACCAGTATAGAAGCGAGGTGTCATCACTCCTATCCATAAGACAGTTAGCCGCACTGACCTTATTAACTACCGTCCAATAAAACCACTTGCGGTACTATCCAAAATTATGGAATCAATCGTTGCAGATGCGCTGATGCAGTACCTGAAAAGCCATAACTTAAGAGCCCCAGAGCAACATGGCTTTCGTTAAAAGCGTTCATGTACTATTAACTTATTACTTGCAAGTAATAGATGGACTGAGGCGGTTAATGATGGAGCAGGATTCGATGTCATCTACCTGGACGTCACAAAAAGGTTGGATGGCTTAGACTATCGAATTCTTCTTCAGAAGCTTCGGAACTACGGCATTGGCGTCACAATCCTGCGCTGGATTAGCAATTTCCTACACGAACGATGGCAAGAGGTACCAGTCCGGGAGACTCAGTCCGATGAAATCGTCGTGGTGTGTGGTGTACCATAAGGGTCGGTTCATGGACTCCGTCTATTCTTGGGGTTTATTAGGGATTTGGCGAGCTCGATTGCGTCCGAATTCCTACATTTCGCTGAGGATATCAGGATATGGCGAAGGATCAGAGGACCGGAATACCACGAATGGCTCTAGTGCAATCTTAACACGGTGTCGAAGCGATCAGTTCAAAAAGCCCCGCCATTCAACGTAGACAAATGTCGCGTTGTGCAATTACGCCATAGACATGACTACACATATTTGCTTGGGACAAACGGATTGCAGACCAGCTCCCAGGAACGTGACTTTGGTGTGCTCGTACGGAGCGAACTCGACGATTCAAAACAGGCTGAGATATCTACGAAAAGAGGCAACCAGCACGTCGGCATGCTGCGAAGCGCATTCAAGAGATTTGACCCATCAATCTTCCCAATGATGCACCCTTCCTACTTGCGCATGCTTGTTGAATATGCAAGTCAAGCTTAGCAAACTTGATTGAAGCGCGATCTAGAGGCGTTATAGGTACCACAACGAAGAGCAACAAAGAATGTAAAAGGCTTTCGCTATCACTCTTACTCCCGTAGGCTGAAGTTGCTGGGAGTTTTCAGCAGAATCTACTGAAAGCTGCGTGGAGATCTCATATTAGCGTAGCAACTGTTGTGTGGACACAGCCACGTACTCCACCATTAGCTGAAATTTAGCCACAACACGCAGCTCAGTAACTGCTTAAAATTGAAGGAACACCATAGCCGTCTAGAGTGTCGACGTAAATACTTTTTTCCTTCGGGTTTGCCAACCCTGGAAAGCACTCCCAGACTCAGTTGTATCCTCCTCTACTTTGGAATTTTTCAAAAAGCGAATAGATGTTGCTTTTGGCTTCCAGCACTTTGTTACTTAAACTCCTCTATTGTTGTTTAGGTTAAGCATACCATGCTACAGGATTTATATAGCAAATGGACCCAAGTAAGCGACCACATTTTACTTTTCTCACGCCTTGCCTCAATGACCACTGCACCCAGTGTATTCCTGAACGTTTACGCTCGACATTTTTAATTTTTCACTGATGTTATTTATCAAAGTATTCCTCTAAGCAAACGCTTGGTAGATAACCCACATGTATTTTGATTTCATCGTATTCACCCCAACCATCCTACGCGACGTGTTAAGCACCTGATTTTATCCCCTGATAGATCATTGTTCATTTAAGTACGAAATATAATCTTATATGGTCAGAAAAGAAGCAAGAGCAGATGGAGGTCATTTGGACGGCAGAGGAAAACTGAGTTAGTTTCCACTGTCTTTATGGTTGCCAGAACGTCATTAAGGCTCACGTTACTGCTTTCCTTTGCCCTAGTAACGACGCCTCTGATAGTATCCTCTGGTATAACAAATTATTGCCCAATTGTTGCCAGCGAAACTACTTTCTTTATGGTTATATACCATTTCTTTTCTGATGTTCCCACTTCTACAGTAGATAAACAACAAATGGCGTTACCACTAGCTACCTTTGCTGTTTCCCTTAATAACCCCCTTGTTTATGAAGCAAATGCCCAAATATATAAATAAGCCTCTTGTTTTGTGCTGCATGCTCATTAAGGTTGGCGAACGTAACTAGACTCATCAACCTAGGTTCCACTTTATCTTACTTTTATCTTGCCTAAGACATTGATTGTCAACGCAGAACTAATTTCAGGATAACGCTGATCTCATTGATTTTAGTTGCTATTACGCCACAACCCGTCGAGGCAATGATCGTCCAGGTGTGTTGCATCTCAGGGATGCGTGTAAATACTGCGACGACCGGTGTACTTTTCAGTGACGCATGAAGGCACGCTATCGCTCTACGCAGCCTACGCAAATACCGGTCGTGATTTTTTTGCGATGGAACGTGAATGCGATCCGCTCCACCGGGCATAAATTCTTTTGTCGTCTACAAATTGCGCTTTATCAGCAGGACACTGGTGATTGGCCGCCTACGTTCCACCGACTGACTGGCCGCCCCCACGGGCAGGCCACATTGATACCCGATGAAGCGGAGAAAACGGCTAAAATCGGAAGACTCCGACGGATCACGTCTGGCGCATGTGCCGTTCTCATACCCGCTAGCTTGGGTGATTTGATGTCCACTTGAGCAGTGCTTCAACGTGAATTAAAGCAGGCTAACAATTATGCACAGTATGTCTACGTAACTCACACATCGACCGTAGCATTGCAAAGTGATCCGAATGACTGATAGGCAACGCAGCGCACTACAGACTAATCAGTAGATGGTTCAAGTAAGCAGCCAGCCAATCCTGGTCTTGATATGCATTAAGAACCATTGCTTCAGAAGCCACAACACAAAGCCTACAATAAAATGACGGTTACTATGCACTGTGGGTGTGATGTCAGTATACCTGCAGAGGAATTCATAGCTTCGCTTGGTTTGGAGTAAAATCTACTTCAGTGCATCCACGTTCGACTCGGAAAATGGAATTGGGGGCAAAACTCACATTGAGCCACGTTTGGCTTGGGAAAGGATACACGTTACAGCGTCCAACGAACACAAAAATCTTTATAAAACATCTGCATCGATGGCATTTTTACCTTCCCAGAACAAGATGAGCATACATACAGTTATGCCAGTCGAATATTACGTCCGGCCAGAGGCGAGCCATAGGTGGGGCGGGAGCTGTCCTTCCCGGGCGTCATGTGACTGTGATTGTTCAATACCTAGTATAAATTAATTAAAAATACCTACGTGACTGAAGTGGAAAAAATGCTGATACTGAAGATGAAATTGGTACTGCAAACGTTGACGTCCTAGCGACAGAAAGCGACAATGACAACGCGGATGCAGCGGGAAAGGTTTCTATTGCTGATACAGAAGACGCGCACAAAGTTGAAGAATTGAAAATGCAGTCATACTGGCACAATAGCACGCTCATCAACCGATTCTATAGATGTCTTTTAATTGACTGTTGCGATTGGTCATGCAAATCTCACTATGAGCTATTGTAGTGCAGCCCCTCGATCTTGAATTCAACAAGTGGTTCTACCTGGATCGAAAAGAAAGGCTGGAGCTAAGAAGTTAAAAAAGAATTGGATTTTCGATATTTTCAAAACGGCGAACACTGATACTGTATTCCCCTTCAAAAGCGTCCCTGTTTTGTTTCGGCTGCGAGATGTTCTCAACGAAATAGTCTATTTTTTGGACTGATGAGGGTTTCAGAGACTTGTGGAAACCAAATCCAAAAGCAAGTGAACTGGAATCGAATATATCGATTGCATAGTCAGTCCTCAGTCACTCCGGGTAGTTAGATGAAAGCTAAATAATAAATAATATAGCTGTCACTTGTTAGAAAAGAGGTGGTGTGAGATTCAAGCTAGGATGCTTGGTATCGTCAGGTTTCTCGCTAAGCAAAACGTGATACCGTGTAGTCACCGAGAATATATGTAGAATGACAAAAGAAGCCAGAAAATTTAAGGGGATTTTGCAGGGTATACACATTTTTTGGACAAGTATGGACCTCTCATGCCCCATGCTGAGGCTGATGTTGCATTCTAGATGCTTTTTCACCGCAGTTGGGCTAAAACAACTTGCACTTAAACTAGGTCTTTTTAAGCTGGAGAAATTTCATTCCACTTTATTTGGTTTGTTCTGCCTACCTGAATAATGTTCTATTAACTGGTCACGTTGCTTACGCTAATTGCGCTTAGCTTCGGTAATTTTGTTGTGTTTGTAGCATATGCAAGTAACTTGTGGACATTTCTTACTTTTCGTGGATTCTTTGCTAATCAACTTACTTCATATGGTAATTTAGGGTAGAGTTATGCCACCGTATCTGTATGCATTATTGGATTTATTTTATTTCAGCTTGTCGTTTTAATTGAATGGCTGTTGTTTGATATCTTTGGAATGGTTGCGCTTGATGTGCATGTTGACAAGGTGCCTACTTGTCTATTACCCATTACCTCGTTCATACAGGCTCCAGGAGACAGTTGGTCGTTGCTGGAGGGGACGGGGTGCACGGTCATTGTGGCCGTGCTAGGCTCAAAGAGTGGTTCCATGCACTCAGTGTAGAGCGGACTACGATCCAGCCACCGCCTTGTGTGCGCTTGATTCCCCAAATACAGCGTGCTTTTGTTTGTCTGTGAAGGAGTGTGGGCCGGTTCCGTTGATGAAACGTGGCTCCCATCCACATGCCTCCCGGTCTTATTCCTTCGGGTTTACACTGGACATGGGGTGTGTGGTTGTAGCTGTGGGTGGTGCAACGCAATCCACCCATGGCCCCTCCGTAGGCGCAAGCGTCCTGTGGCTGGGCACAGTGACAGGCAAATCCGAAACCGGATGCCGCCAACCAGGAACTTCTCATTGGTGAACATTTGGTTACAGTTCAGCCTGGAAGGAATATCGGCACCTTTTATGTTGGCACTCGTTTACAATGAATTAGTGAGCATTCTGGAAAACTAGGTGCGAAAAATCATAGATCAGGTCAAGGAAAGCAAGTGTGTTTCCTTAATTTTTGATAGCACTCCCCATGTATTCCACGAAAAGCGGATGAGTGTAAATGAAATGACGGTAAGGGAGTTGATTCTCAGCTTTATTGACACAAACAGCCAAAGGCCAGATAAAATTGCTAGATGGGTATTGCGAGACCAGGAGAAGTGTGGAATTCAGGTTATTGACTGCCGTGGCCAGGCATTTGACAATTATGAGCTACCAATCGAGTGTGCAGTAACATCGGCGAAATCCACCAAAAGCTGTATTTGTGCCATGCAAAAACTACTTCATGGATCTGGTTTGTGTACATCAAGTATTTCCGACGGTTCATTCTGTTATATTTTGAAACGATGGACAAGCTATCCTCATCCTTTGTCCTGATTCAATTCACCGGTAGAAGTATCAAACGTCTGGAAAATCTACATGGGGTAGTCGAGCAGGCAGTCTAAATGTTGTGGAGAAGTAATACTGGGGACTCTTAACTACTGAAACATTTCACAAAATAAGGAGAAGATGCGGCCATAAGAACAGGTGCTTTTTTGTTCTCACCTCAGTATTACCCATTCCGATTATTTTGTTTCTGGGCCTTTGAAGATCTGTTCTCATGGAAATCAAGGGTGCACCAATGGATTTACCAAAGGGCGGAATCTGCAGCAAAACTCTATCACGCTACCAAACTTAAGAGTATACCTTCTGAAGAAGAAAGTGTTGGACCTTGCGATAGATTAATAAAAAAGAATACGCTGAATTAGGGATGAGCATGAAGCGTCGAATCCGCCAAAAGGAACTAGTGGACAGAGAAGTATCACTTGATATATCGAGGTGAAATGATGTTGTTAAACTAGGAAGTGTCCTCTGTCACAGACAGTTTGACTGCTGAAATGCCGTGAGTGTTAGAAAATTCAAGACCTCGTAAACAAATGTGTTTTACTTACGCCATCAAATCTGTTTGTTGATAACCAGGGTTGTCTGTTTAACGAAGGTAAGGAAGCTAGAGAAGATAGGAAATCTTTGTCGAAGGAAAAAGACTCTAGTATTTTGTGTAAGCTTCAGTCAACGAAAAAATTAATGGACCATCTGAACTTTTAGCTTCACACAGAAATATCGCTTTGGGAAATCTGTTGCACCTCTTTCTTGCCCGAGATAGAAGAAATGGGATCAGTTTGGGCTTACGTGACTGAGAGGAGGTTTTGAGAGTCTTCACCTGAGTGGGTAGGGGATGCTGGTCAAACTCTGACGCTCTTCGTTGCCCTACGTTGTGTAGTATCGAGCGCGGTGAGATGGTGTTTGAGCCAGGGTTGCCACGCACTTGAACATCACGCCGAGATCGCACTCGTGCGAAGCCCGCTGTAGAATTTGTGGTCCTAGGCGGTATTTTGCATACTCTTGTGCCGTATACTGAGAACTTTGCACTTGGTGACGTTGAAATGCAGCATGTTCTCGATGGACTATGTGTACGCTTTGTCCAGGTCCTCCTGTAAGATTGTGTGATCCTCCACTGCAGCTATGTGCGTATACCACAATTGCCACGTGTGAGAGCCCATTCTGAATACACAAACTTTTAACGAACTAAATTCAATCATCAATGAACCAGATAAAGCTCACCGATTGGCACTTCTGCCCATACAGAGGGAACCTACCAATGCACTGCATTTTCTTAGTCTCAATACTATTGTCTCAAGTAATGCACAAAAAGTTTATCGATAAACTTTGTACACGAGTATCGCAACAATTCAAATACCTGCATTTCCGTCAGCACACTAAATTGCATCCTTGATTTTGTCATAAGAAACAAAATATTGAATTGCAATTCGTAATTGTGTTGGTTTACGGGTTTACAACTGCCAGGGGGTGCAATTTTACGTCCGCCACTGGCGGCAAAAATAGTTGCTAGGCCACTGCGTCCGTCTATGTTCTGTAGAACATCTCTCAAGAACGAGACATTGTTGTGCTCACAAAGGACGATCTCGGTTGTTCCAAATACTCTTAGCGTATTTCAACAAAGGGTAATCAGCATGTTCGTCCCTTGCGAAGGGCACTCTGACGTTTAGTTACCCAAACTACGTGTGTCCCCACATCGAATAGGCCATCCAGACTTGGCAACTTTGGCTAAAGGGTGACAACACAGTACCCTAGACATCACGATTACCGAATAATAATATTATCATGCGTTTGTGCCATTTTCTGTATTACGTATGGTTGAAGCAACTCAGGCATTCAGTGGACTGACTGTATGGGAGGTTACGTGTAGACCTTATATAGGCCTTACAAATACTGAGCGATCGCAGTCACATATGGACCCGCGGCTTAAAAGATGAGAGGCAGTAGCTTGCTACTTAATCGGAAATACAGTAGTATGGATTTTTAGCTGCATTGCTTCACTCTCTGGGTCTGCCAAGTCTAAAAATCGCCCTTACAAGCGCAGTTGTTTGCGCCTTCCAGTTTAACCCTTACTAAAAAAATTTTGGATGTTGTGTTTATCTACATAAATATAGAATGAATGTGCCCCATGTTGAGGCTGATGTTGCATTCATGATGCTTGTTCACCGCAGTTAGGCTAAACCAACTTACCCTTAAACTAGGTCTCTTTAAGCTGCATAAATTTCATTCCACTTTATTTGATTTGTTCTGCCTACCTGAATAATCTT